TAAATGAATCAAAATTATACCTATTTTTTTTGTCAGATCAGGAAAAAAAAATTATATATATATATATATTTGTGTGCCACGGGGTTTTAGTAATTACTTTGTGTGTCAAGAGATTAAAAAGATTGAAAATCTCTGCTCTACATAATAGGTCTCACAAATGCAGTCAAATATTCTATGTCATCGCTTGTTCAGTGAAAGGAAGATTACAATGTTCTCTCAATGAAAAGTGGAATACACTGTTCTAATTGAACACATTTAAAGTTCTCTAAATCACTTTCTGACTGCACCTCATTCTCACATCTCCCATGGATTCACATTTTGTGTAGCTCTACCATGCTTCCTCCCCGGTTCTCAGAATGTCTGTAATTGACTTACACCTAGTTAACAACAGCATTTATGAGACACTGTCTGAGAAGCTCACTGACAGAGTTCCATCTTGACATGCAACGCTGTTCTAATTATTATTTCTTTTCAGGATTTTTTCATCTTAATTAAGTCCACATGTGACCTTGCACTGCCATATGACCTGCAGCTTCCTCTGAGTCAGAGAGCCCAGTTCGTGTTTAGAGAGAAAAGAAAACAAAAACTCAAGAAACATATGTCCAAAAAAAAAAACTTTTTTTTTTTTTGCATATAAACAGGAAAAGCAGATATTATCCAGTAGCAACTACAGAGTGATGACACATGAGGGTCATGTCCAAGAAGAAACCTAAGACAAAAAAGTCTCATAAAGAAAATGTCCTTAGGACTACAAGGCACAAAAATAATATTACAACAGAAAAAATATATTCCTTTAAAACCTTGTAATGAATTAATTAATTTGACTATAGCAATTGACACACATAATTTGGACAATAGTAATAAAAATCTGCAGTTATTACCAATTAAAGATGAGCCCCAAGATCAATGTATGACATTAAGCCAAATGTTTCATATTAAAACAATAATAAAAAGAAACAAGTAACCATGGGAAACTAAAGCAAGGTGCTAACATGCTCAAGAATCCTGCGCTTATGGCCAAATTGTTCAATGTGAGTTTAATTCATTTAGAAAACCACAATAACACCCATAATACCCCGGACTCCCTGAAACAAGGCATCAGTGGAACCTCTGCCAATGTTACAATTTGAAAAGGATCTCATGAGAAAGAATTACTACAATTGAATAGTTTTCTTTAGCATCAAAACCAGCTCTTCTCAGGAAGTAAAAAGAAATAAGACAATATCAAGAAGTGTCACATCTGAAATCACAGCCAGGCTTGCTTCATTTTCTAACACCAAACTGACAGAAAAGTCAAAATCCCAAGACCAGTGTGGACATACTATAACAAAAGCAAGTATCGATAGTAGATGGCTCATCCCAAAGAAACTGCAAAGAAAGAAAAGCTCTTCTGAGTAAGTGGAGAACTAGCAAAGGAAGAATGCTAAAAATTCTCCTGACTCAATTGTTCCCCAGCCTGAACTGGAAATGAAAAATCAATTGGGTCCTTTGGACTACCATGTCAGAAGATGAACACAGACTACTTCCTGGAAAAGAAAACAAGACCTTTTGTGAAGGCCTAAAGCTGGTTAATGAGCAATGCCCAAAAGAAGAAATATTGGACACACTGAATGAACTGATTTAAAATATTTTATATGCCCAAAACACTTACTAAATATTGGGTATGTGCATGTTGAAGCACTTACAAGTTCTATTGGAAATATTATCTCAATCTATGAGAAGGCCATTCTGGCAAGAGCTCAGCCTACTGAAGAAAAGCAACATTCAACTGCAGATATTCTAACAATGAAGAGTCAAGAAAGGGTTAAATTTGGAGAAAAATTTGAGGAGACTTGTTCAACCGAAGAACAAATCTAGAGTCATCTAGAGTCAGAAAAATCTGAAATGGAAAATAAACATAATAGAAATGTGGTATTTGAAGATTGCGAAAAAGAGCAAGATAACCAATGATGTTGAAACCCCAATGCAGAAACTAGGGAAAGTTGCTTAATTAAATAGAATGTGTCTATTACACCATACTTGCAAAATGTAAAAAAGAAAATGCAGTTGAATGAAACAAATTCTACATTTAAAGAGCTTTAGTTTCTAACACCAGTTAGATATTTTCAACATCTTCAAGACAAGACTTCTAAACTGCCAGATATGTTAAAAGACCATTATCCTTGTGTGTGTTTACTGGAACAGTTAACAAGAGTTGGGAGATGAAACTGATGCGCTTATTTACAGCCCTAATGCAGTGCTGTGCCAGATGTATTTGGAGACTAAAACAACAGAAGAGAAATAAAGCAATGATAAGAAAGAAGGTTTTTATTATTCCTGGGGTGTTTCATTTGTTGTGGCTTCATATGTCTCCTAGGTCAGAAGTTGGCCAAGTACCTAAGTATCCATGGCAGTAGCTTTTTTATTTTTTTAAACTAATGTTCACATAATAGCAGGTGTTGCCTTCTGTGTGTCAAAAAGCTAAATCATTCCTGCATTGTCTATCTCAACTGATTGAGATTTTCTCTAGTAGGTAGGTAAATTTTATCAACTAATTTACCATTTTCCTTGAATATAGTTAAATGTAATTCCAGTTTTGGTAGTTTATTTCTAAAATAATTAATACTTAAACTTGCTTTGTAATATAAAAGCTTAATTGTTAAATCATGTCCCCTGAAACATGATAGTTACATATTGTAAAGAGTTCCTCACACGTGAGTACCACCAATAAAATTGTTTATGTCTTTGAACTGATACTTAGGTGGCATATATCATCTATCAACTCTGTTTTCAAATAAGTACTTGGTCATTATAAGATATTAGATCATTTTAAAACTGTGTAATATGAATGTGGTTGAAAATATTCCATTTTCATTCATATATTCCATTTGTATAACAGTATCTTGCATTGTCTTCCCATATCTAGAGAGTGGGATTATAATTCCCTTTTCAATTGTGAATAATATGTAGACAATAAATTGAAATATCTACAATAAAAAAGACTATACACTTCCAATGAAAGGCTTTCTTGTTGAAACATATTTATAAGGACTAACACACATACTTAGTGTAAAATAATATTACAATAAATAAAAATAGTAGGTATTTGAAACACAAGGGGGCACAAATTAAGAACTTCATGGTGAAGTTTGCTATTTGACTGATCTGTAAATAGAGATAAGGTAACAACACACAAAGATAAATCCTATCTTAAGGTGTGTCTTTCATGTTCAGATCACTTTGCTAAGCATATGCTTAAGAAGTTATTTGGATCTTTATTCTATGTCTTCAATTTTACTTGAAGAGGTAATTAATAAAATCTTGGTGAATAAGAATATATATTATAGGCACAATCAGTATAGGCCCTTTATTTGTTTATAGATATGTTTTTAGGAAAACAGTGGAAAGTTGATAAATAGTTGGGGAGGGGGTGGTGGTGTGGTGTGGGAACAAAACTATATTCTATAAAGATTGCTAAATGATGTTGATACTATGTTTTACCTCGGCTGTCTACTTTTTTAGTTCTTTTTAATTATAGATATTATAGATATTATTTATATGTAAGATAAATAATATTAATATTATTTATTAATAAATAATTATATATTAATAAATAATATATAAATATATAATATAATACTATATATTATTTCAGATTATCCATTTAGAGATATTACCACAGAATAATTGATACTCACTAATAATCATAATAAAATATATCATAATAATTACTAGTTAACTTGGGCCATTGACTATCTAGGTCCAAATTTTGGTTCTATCTCTTACTATCTTTGTGAACTTGAGCAAGCAACTTAACTTCTGTGCGCCTAGTTTTCTCATCTTAAAATGAAATAGTAGCACTTTCCTAACAGAATTTTATGAGGCTTAAATATGTTCACACATGTAAATCTCCCAGCAAAGTTTCTGGTACATAGCAGGCACTCCATGTTTTTGTTTGTTTGTTTGTTTTTATTTGTGGTTATTATTATTATTTGACAATGCATTTACAAGAGCAGATTCCCCAGCCAGACTGCTTGGATTCTAATCTTGGTGCTAGTAAATTCTGTTTGTGTGAACCTTGGGCAAGTTCCTTAATTTCTATGAGCCTCAGTTTCCTCATCTGAAAAGTGAAATAATAATACCTACTTCATAGAGGTGTTATGAGGATTAATTTACTTCAAACATGTGAAAGTCTTAGAACAGCACATAGGACATACTCAACATTATATAGTGCTTATGATTTTGATTATCACTATATTTAGAAATAGGGGGTCCATATCAATCATTGTTTTTTATCTTGCTCTGATTTTGCTTTGTTTTTAAATTCTCTAACCCTCAGTGGCAGAGATTATGGTTTTTTCATTCTTGTATTTTCAGGGGGAAGCTATCTAGTGCCAATCACTTTATTTACATTCTCTTCTGTAGAAAGAAAAGAAAACAATAACAACAACAAAACTACCTTTAATCTATGGTCATTCTTGCTTAGCAACAAAACAACTACTTTATACTACGTGGATATACCAGCATTTTGCTCCTAGGCTCACAGCTGAGCAGGATGCTGCTCTCTAGCTTTTTCTGTTTATAATAGTGCAGTCAATATCCATTATTACTTGAAATGTTCAAGCCCCCTAGGAAAAGTGTTAATTATTGCTCTCTGTGTCAACAAAATGAAAATTGGAGCTATAAGGCTCATCTCCCCATACCAGTAAACTCTTCATCTTGCTCTCTTCTTCCCTCACCACGGCCTCATCCAGAACATAATTTGGCAAAAAAAGAAAATAATGAAGAGAAAAAGACTGTTTCAACAACATATTACCTTGAATTAGTAGCCAAAAATCCTCAGTGCTCAGTGTAGGGTGACAAGAAATTAAGATAATTTCATGAGAGAATTTAACAGAAGTAATTAATAATATTGTGATTTTTTTTCTACCAAGAACACAATTCACTTTATAATCCAAAATTAATTAAGTGCCATTGTTTTGCATTGTATAGATCATTTAAAACATGGAAGTACTTCATACCTTTGTTTATATCAATGAGCTGTTTCTTCTTCTTCTGGCGTTCCAACTTTTCTTGTTCAGCTTTCTCTTTTGCAAGTTTTGCCCTCCTAGTCTTCTCTTCCATTTCTTTTCTTTTGTTGTTTTCTTTTACTGCTTCCTGTACATTTTTAAAAAGTTAAAATCCTTTCATTACTTATATATATTGGAGAAGTTGTGCAATTTTAAAATTACATTTTCACACATGCACATGGATATTCAGAGATGGAAAAAGTATTACAGTAGCTTTAAGCTACATATGTATATAAGCTACAAGAACCAATAACTGTAAGACATTGAATAAAGTAGAAATAACTCAGGCTTTAATTAACATTACCTAGGGCAGCGTTTTTCAACCGCTGTTCCGCGGCACACTAGTGTGCCGTGAGATGTTGCCTGGTGTGCCATAGGTGCAGACAAGACAAGAATTTTATAAATTTTCACTATTTTGTTTACTTAATATTTCATAATAAAGTAATTATAAAATACTTTCTTTGTGTTTATTTGATTCCTATTCAAGAGAATTACTTTATATATAGTCAATATAGGCACAGAGTTAAATTTTTTTAACATTTTCTAATGGTGGTGTGCCTCGTGATTTTTTTCATGAAACAAGTGTGCCTTTGCCCAAAAAAGGTTGAAAAACACTGACCTAGGGTGCCAGAAAATTCAGGACATGAATGTTTACAGACCTAATAATAAACACACTTTCTCTGTTGTTAAAATATAAAACAGTTTTGATATACAAGAAAATGTTTAATATAGAAATATGATTTAGCAAGTATTTTACAAGATTATTGTAACTTATGCTCTTATCTGCAAAGTGGGGATTAAAAAAAAAAAACTACCTCATAAGATTTTTGTGACAAAAAATGAAATACATTTAAAAAGTGATTAGAATACTTAGTCTATGATGATGATGGTGGTGGTAGTTGTGGTGGTAACAATTATATCTAAAGGTACAAAGCATGAAATAATTAGCCATATTATCACAGGAAAGAAATACCTGCAAGTTTAATAGCTTTTTACATGCCAACATCTTTATAAATGCTGCAGCATATTTCAAGCTATTGTCTTTTATTTCAGACTAGAGGCCCGGTGCATGAAATTCATCCATGGGGGGTCGGGGGTGTCCCTCAGCCCAGCCTGCACTCTCTCCAATCTGGAACCCCTTGATAGATGTTTGACTGCCCATTTAGACCCAATCTAAATGGGCAGACAGACATCCCTCTCACAATCCAGGACTGCTGGCTCCCAACTGCTCACCTACCTGCCATCCTGATTGCCTCTATTTCTGCCTGCCAGCCTGATCAACCCCTAACCACTCTCATGCCAGCCTGATTGATGTCTAACTGCTCCCTTGCCAGCCTATTTGCCCCCAACTGCCCTCCCCTGCTGGCCATCTTGTGGTGGCCATCTTGTGTCCACATGGGGGCAGGATCTTTGACCAAATGTGGGCAGCCATCTTGTGTGTTGGAGTGATGGTCAATCTGCATATTACTCTTTTATTAGATAGGATAGAGGCCTGGTGCATGGGTGGGGGCCAGCTAGTTTGCCCTGAAGGGTGTCCCGGATCAGGGTGGGGCAGCCTAAGAGAGGGGCCTATGGTGGTTTGCAGGCTGGCCACGGCCCCTGGCTACCCAAGCAGAGGCCCTGGTATCTGGGGTTTATTTATCTTCTACAATTGAAACTTTGTAGCCTGGAGCAGAGCCACGCCTCCTGTTTGCTCCATGGCAGCAGCCATTTCTGTTGAAATTATGTATCTTCTATAATTGAAACTTTATAGCCTTGAGTGAAGGCCTGAGCTGGCCAGGACTGCAGAAGCTTGGCTTTCTCAATTGCCAGGTGCAATCCTAGCCTCCTGTTCTTCCAGCTCCGTGGCTGCTGCCATTTCTGTTGGAATTTATTTACTTTCTATAATTTAAACTTTGTACCCTTGAGTGGAGGCCTGGGCTGGCCAGGATGTGTGGAAAGCTTGGCTCATTCCACCACCAGGGAAACCCAAGCCTCCCTCCTACTCTCTCCTTGGCTCCAGCCATCTTGGTTGGGATTAATTTGCATATGCTCTCTGATTGGCTGGTAGGCATGGCTGATGGGCGTGGCTTGTGGGTGTAGCAGAGTGGTGTTTAATTTGCATATTTCTCTTTTATTAGATAGGATAGATTATTTATGGAACTCAGGTGAATCAGGACATTCCAGTAGATAGTATGGTAGTGAACTGATCAGCTAGAATAACAATATTAACTTCCTTTGAGATCGGAGATTTCACTAATACAGAGACATATGAATTGCACGTTTCTCCCATCAAGCTGTTCTGTTTCTTTTTTCCTGTTATGATTGATTAAATATACTTCATAGTATGTACCAACTATTTCACAAAAACTATTTTGTTCCAGAAACCCTAAAGAAAAGGACTCAATAATAAGAACACATCTACAAGACTTTGCCTGGAGGTGTCTGTATCAAAATATTTCTCTTCATATTAGAAGGCACAATAGTTTTTAAAAGCCCTGAAACAAAACACTTTCAAAAAGATCTCCTGACTTGAAAGAATTATTGGTCCCTTTCCCTCTCCCTTCCACTGCCCCCATCAGGCTGGGACCTCTAGCATTAGGTTAAGAGCACAAAATGCTCTGGTTCCTACAGACAATCTCAAATATCCACTCTGAAAAGAAGCTGGAATAACAGAAATATAATTTTAGAGCAGGACCTCTCAACCTCAGCACTACTGTAATTTTGGTCTGGATGATTCTTTGTTAGAAGAGCCATCCTGTACATTGTAACATGTTTATGGCACCTCTGACCTCTACTCACTAGATACCAGTAACAACCATCCCCAGTTGTGACAACCAAAAATGTCCCCAGAGACTTCTATATGTAACCCAGGTTGAGAACTACTAACCTAGGGGATTTCAAACAGATAATATACCCACAAAAAGTTACAAAGTGCCTGCTCTGCTGAACCCAGCTTCTTCTCACAGATGTGGAACTGAGTTCCCAAGGAGTTTCAGTAATTGCCTAAGCTCACACGTTTCTGTAATTGCAGAGGTGAGAATAGAGCTCATATCTCTTTATTCCTAGTTTAGTGTGTGTTTTATTATTTGAGGAAGAAAAGATAATGTGATATGATACCAAAAGCACAAGCAAACAAAGAAAAACATAGATAACACTTCCTCAAAACTAAAAATTTTCATCCATCAAAAAACTCTGTCAAGAAAATGAAGAGATAACCCACAGAATGGGAGAAAATATTTGCAAATCATTTTTTATGAGAATATATAAAAACTCTCACAACTCAACAACTAGAAGAGAAATAACCCATTTATAAAAATAGGCAAATGATTTGAATAGATCTTTCTGAAAGAAAATATACATATAGCCAACAAGTACATCAAAAGGTGTTTGAGGTAATTAATCATTAGGAAATGGAAAATCAAAATCACAATGAGGTACTACTTCACACCTACTAGGACAGCTAAAATAATAATATAATAGCAAGTGAGGATGTGGAGAAATGTGTAAATGTAAAATAGTGAGTCATTTTGAAAAACAGTTGCTTAAAATGTTAAAAAAAAAAAAAAAGAGTTATACTCTATCCCAGCAATTTCACTACCTAAGGGAAAAAAACAAAACCAAAACACATAATCATACCAAAACTTATACAAGAATGTTCATGGCAGCATTATTCCTAATAACCAATAAGTGGAAACAACCCAAGAGTCCATCAACTGATAAATGCGTAAAGAAGATGTGTTAAATAGCCATACAATGAAATTATTTATATATATATATATATATATATATATATATATATATATATATATATATATATATATATATATAGCTAATATGCAAATTGTCACTCAGGAGTTTGACCAGGAGAATGGGAGTTCAATTGCTCCCTAGGACATGCACTGACCACCAGGAGGTGTCACAGAATGAAGAAAGGCTCCTGCTAGCTGGCAGCCAGCAGCCAGGGAAGGAAGGCCCTGATTGGCCCTGATGGCCCCAAATGGTCTTGTCAGCCAGGCATAGGGACCCTACCTGTGCATGTATTTTTTGCACTGGGCCTCTAGTTCTATCATAAAAAGAATGAAGTGCTGACACATGCTGCAACATTGATGAACCTTAAAATATTATGCTAAGTGAAAGAAGTCAGACACAAAAGGCCACATGTGGCATGATTCTATTTATAAGTACTATCCAGAACAGTTAAACCTATAAAAATAGAAATTAGATTAGTGGTTGCCAGGGGCTGGGAGAGGGGAAAATGTGGAGTAACTGCTACTGAGTATGGGTTCTTTTGGGCTAATGAAAATGTTCTCAAACTAGACAGTGGTGTTGGTTGCACAACCTTCTGAATATAATAAAAACTGCTGAATTATATACTCCAAAGTGGTGCATTTTATATGTAAATTAGGTCTCAATAAAATTTTACAAAATTAATATTTGAGAAAGATAAGATTGAAAAAAAATGTGAATTAGTAAAAAAAAAAAAAGACAATGTGAAAAGGCAACATATATGCAGGCTGATATTAGTAAGTTATGCGACCTTTGGTAAGTAACATAACTGGCAAGTAATAGAGGAGCAGAGGAAAGTTAATGCTTGTGTATATTTTATTATTTAAATCTCTGATCTGGTATATAGTCACCAACATCTAGGTGGACTCTTCTATTATTAATTGAATGAACTGTTTAACTGCTGAGTGCTGTTATTTATTATGAAGCTAAAAATAACCCTGGTAACTTCTATTTGTATTCCTTCTTTATTCTGATAATAACAGCTACTTTTTCATGACACTCTATTATGGTTCCAGGAGTTTTAAATAAATATTTTCTAGTCTTCATAGAAAATCTGCAGATATCGATTATTGGCTCTCATTTTACAGATGATGAAACTTAGGTTCAGGTAAGTTAAGTGAGATGCCCAAGGCTACCCAGTTACTTAAGTACCAGAACCACATGTTCACATGATGCCTTCCAAGCAGAGTTGCCAAACAAAATACAGGACATTCAGTTAAATTTTATTTTTAGGTAAACTATGAATTACCTTTTTAGACTAAGCATATCCCATACTATACTTAAGCTATACTTACAAAATTCATATAATATTTTGGATTC